AGCCCCACTTTGCAAACAAGAAGTCTAAGACCCAGACGGCCTCCGTAACCGGCACAAGATCACCCAGCTAATAATCAGCAAAGACAGGGCACAGGCCAACGTCTTTCAGCCTCCAGAGCCCACGCCCCTTCCACTGTCCCAGGCTCCCGTTTTGTGCCTCCCACTTCCCAACTCAACTCACTTGCTGCAGTGTGATGAGCCTCCAGGAGGACTCCTTCTGTCTTCCAGTTTGAACCCCTGTGAGCAGTGGCTGAGAAGGGATGGGGCTATGTATGTATGTCTTTTCGAGGGAGCAGTTGTAAGGGGAGAGGTGAAAGTAACAAAAAACAAAACAAAACCATCAACTTATAAGTATTAGTTTCCTCTCATCTCTCTGTCACTTTGTCAAAGAGATGTGTCTGTTATCTTATTCCTCCTTGAAATTGTAGTCTGGTGAAAATTTTTTAATTTCAAGGCTGCTCTCAGGGGAGAGAAATTGATGATTTGTAAAAGAGAGAAAGAAGAAAGAAGCCAAGAAGAGAGAAAAAATGAGAAAAAGCAAATCCAGGTGCTCTTGGAGGCTCATTTCCTTCTGTTTGGAAGCTTAGCAAGATAATAGCTCAACAGAATAATTATAGATGTTACCAGTAGCTGAGCTGAGACAGGAACCTTTATAACAAGGCCACTCTCTAAATCAGAAACAGTTACATAAAACAGTTATCGCCATTGCCAAGTCAGTAGACTAGAGGTTCTCTGTCCTTACCCTAAAGCTATGTAGAACTTGGCGGCTGAGGGTCCCTGTCTGAGAGGCCTCTCTCCATAGTGCATGAAGGCAAGCTATGCCCAGTGTGAACAAGGCTCTCTATGGGATAATGAAAGCCACTTCTGTGGTATTCCTATCAAAAATTTGAATAACCTGAATCTGGTCATGAGAAAACATCAGACAAGCACAAATAGAGGGACCTTTTAGAAAATAACTCGCCTGTACTCTTCAAAAATACCAATGTCATGAAACACGAAGACTCAGGAACTGTTCCCAACTAGACAAAAGGAGACTAAAGAGACATGACAATTAAAAGCAATGTATGATCAGAGATTTCCTTTTGCTATAATGAATACTAATAGGGCAATTGGTGGAATCTGAATCAAATGTATAGTGTTAATAGTATTGTACCAGTGCTAATTTCCTGATTTTGATCTTTGTAACATAGTAATGTGAGAGAATTTTTTTGTTTGTAGAAAATACACACTGAAGCACTTAGAGGAAAGGATATCATGTCAGCAATTACTCTCAAAGGAGAAAGCCAGAGAAGGATAAAGAGAATGTGGTAAAATGTTAATATTTGGGAAATCTGGGTGAAGGGGATTCAGAAATTCTTGGTCCTATGTTTGCAACTTTTCGGTAAGTCTGAATTTTTGTTCAAATAAGAAGTAAAATAAAAAAGAAAAAGAGTTGAACATGAGTAAATGATCTAAGGGATTCTAATCTCGAAATTATTACAACTCAAGTCTCTGATAGTGTAAATACTGAGATTCTACAATAGCTAATTTTAGAAGAACAAACCATGGGGTAATCCTTTAATGCTTCTATTTGTTCCTGATACAGGGTAAATATTAAGCCATGAGTTCAAAATTACTTGAACAAATTTTAAAAGATGTTAAGTATCAAAATCATTTCTCACCCCTATTCCTCAATCTAGTTCTTCCAAAATATAAAATGTCAAACAAAAGTGTGACAAATATATGATTTGCTAGCATATTGATTTCAGATCAATTGGATTTATAATTAAGTTATATTTTTATGTTTGCTTATGTTAAAATGCACTGGAAGTTTCTTTATACCAACAAAGAACACAGTCTATTTAATAAGAAGTCTGCTTATTTAATAAGATGTCTGTAAGAAAAGGGAGTTGAGTCTAGTGGGGAGGAAAGAGCTTCCATAGAGAATCAGGAAACATTCTCAACAACCTGTTAAGTAATTTTACGACTTTGGATAAGTCACCTTACCTGAAAAATAATCCTATTAGAATGTCATAATAACTAATATTTATTGGGCTCTCCCTGTGAGTTGGACACTTTATTTGAACCTAAATAATCTCTTCTAAGTTCCCTTTAAGGAAAAACATTTTATCACTTGGAATATAGTGCTCTTATTTTAAATGATTATAGAAATGTATCCTTGTGGTATCTTTCCTTTTGCAACAATTCTTGGCCATAGCTATAATGTATCAATGCTACTGCTTGGGTAGGAACTCTACCGTGTGCTGGTGAAATGGGAAATAAGTAGAGGGTTTGCCTCTATATCCCAACACAGAGATCCCTGGCTTCCACTCTAAGGGCTCAACCCACTGGCTTTGGAAATCCATTATCTTCCTATTTCCCAGAGCCTACTTACAGACATCCTTTCCAAACTGACCACCCAACCTCCAGCGGTAATCCTCTCCTTCTCTGCCCCCACAGCCACCCCAGAGGCCTGCTCTGCACAGCTGTTTGGTTTCTCTGTGTTTCTTTGCTTCAGCTCTCTGCACCTGCAGTGGCAGCTGGGTCCTGGAGCTTCCTGAGGGCAGGTGCCCAGTCTCTGGGCCCAGGGTGACTTGCATACATTGAATGTTCACTTAGCACAGGAAGTGCTGTTGGCTGACTAGTGTAGGAATACAAACAACACCACTGCAACTAAACCAACACAGCATTTCCTGGAACAGAAGCTGAGAGAAAATGGCTGTAATCTTGCAGAAAGCTCCACCCTTCAATCTAATCCAGGGGAAAATGTAGGTTGAGGCCTCTTCACCCTCATTTCAGGCCACATCCCATCAATTCTGTCATGTGGACGTCTCAGGTGTAGCCCCGCCCAGGGCTAGGCCTAGGACCTGCCTGGTTAGTGATCTCGCCATCCACTTTCAGGTGCTGGGGTTCTAGAGCCAAGTAGGAAAAAGGGATTTCCACTTCTGGTCCCGCAACCACGGCTTGTTATACTTCAGTCTCACTTGCTTACTCTCATTTCTAACACACCTGGGGGTTCACCCTTCTTTGAGTTTGCATATACTGGCGCCCTGTCTGGAATGCCATTATTTACAGTCTCCTTAGCAAACTCACACCTCTTTGAAAATGAAGCCAAGCAGTCACCTCATCTCTCAGGGAGTCTTTGGCACACTCCTAAACTCCTCCAACATTTTGTGCACACTCTTCCTCTGTTATAGAAAAGATCACATTGTCTTATATTTGTGTATTGCTGTGTCTGTCCTCCATGTTAGACTCCACAAACACTTTGAGATTCATAGCCACATCAGTTATCCTTGTGTCTCCAGCACTTAGCACAATGCCTAGCCCCTAGTATGTTTCGGGGTGGGAGTGAGAAAGAGGAACAGGCCTCAGGTTCGGAGTCTGAAGCCCTCTGGACAGTCAGAGGTCAACCTGAGGACATAAGAAACTAAAGACCAACAGGGTTGGACCTTTCCAGTTTGTGCCTCTCGTCAGTTACCAAAGGTGAGATCACTAAGGCGGTGGAAGCTGTGAAGGGATGGGCTTTGAATCCTTCCCTGTGGGTATAAAGCTACCTAATCCTATCATTTAAATGCTAAATACTCTTAACTGGCTCACACAGGAAACATCACAGGAAATCATGCTTCAGCTCCAGTTCAACCGCAATTTCAAAACAGTGCAGACTCTGGTGGAGATTGAGAAAGCAAAACTTATTTGTTCAGCCAGCAGCTAAGATTCTGCTTTTGCTCAGCTCTCTTCCAAATCATTTGCATATATATCCAATGCCTCTTATCTCCCATGGGAGTTCCTTAAGGGCAGGGCTATTTGATGGACAAATATCCTTCTACCTTGCCACTCTCCTGCCCCACTAGTATTTTCCAAAGCACAGTGCCTGGCCCCAGGAGGCGCTTAACACCTGATCATTAAATTAATTCATTAAAAAGTCTAGTCTTTATTTTTAAATTCAAGGCTTAATAGCCCCTGAGGTGCTTTGGGAACATAGATCCCTGCGGTGCATTCCCATCCCTCATTGTTAGGTAGGTGAGTGTGGTCCTAGGGTACTTTCCTCTCCCCTTCAGGGCATAATCAGCTGAGATTCTTGGAGGTCTTGGAAAAAGAAAGCTCTGATCTAGAGTTTCCTGTGGTGACCTGATCTCCAATAACTATGGTGGTCACAGAAAGCCAGGACAAAAGCTTGGCTATCACCTTCTGAGTCCATGAGACCTCAATCGTTAGTTATGTGACATGAATTAGAAATCTTTGTAATATGAAGTTTTGTTGCTTGGTGCATGTCACATTATATTTATCAATATTCATGTTTTGTACACCAAGGATAGGTTTATTTGAGGGAACCCTGAGGACCACAATGCTCTTCCTGCCCTTTGAAAACAATCAATCTAAGCACCTCTTAGAGGTATCTAGTTTTTACCTCTCAAAATACAGGTACTGGGCATGTCCTGAGCTGGGACTCTGAGCCCCAGCTGAGAGTCAAGTTGTGATTTGTAGTTATCCTTATATTTAGTGGCTGTGAGGAAACACAGTGAGAGTCACTAACTTTACTTTTGAAAATTTCTCAAATGAAAAAGACCTGTATCTCTCAGCTGCCTTTCTAAATGGCTCTGGCTATTGGTTCTCTCCTCACTTTAAAATCACAAGACCCATCTTCTAAAGACCGGAACATGTAGGAAATCTCCCCAACTTCATCTCCCATAGAAAACTCCAGGCATCAGAAATGACCATACACAGAAATTCAAGTTCTGAAGCAATTTAAGCACATGAATGCCCTGACCCAAAGAGATATCAGATACTTTAATGGGAACCTGATTAGTTACAAGTTTTTCTGGCCTGATTGCCTGTTGAGGGTTACTAGGATCTTACTGATCTTTTTACTTCCTGCACTAAATATTCATGAAACAGAAGTTGCAGGAGCTTTCAGTGTTACTAGAGAGGAGTCTATGGAGATTCCTAAGAAGATACTCTATCCCACATAATATCACTCAGGTCTTTGCTCTCAAACAGATTAAAAATGTCACCAGTCTTACCTTTTGCAGGCACGTCTCCTCAGTCCCTTAGGCAGAATTGGTGATTACTCTTGAGGTGGCTGCGACAAGGCTGGTAACACGGATGTCCAGGGCTATTTGTGTAAAAGGAGAAATGAAAGAGGAATAAATGTGATCACACTGTGACGACAGAAAGCCCAGAAAAGGAAAGGGAGGAAGTTAGGCTGCGCCCGCCCTCTGTAGCCTCAGTTACAATCTTTCCCCTGTGGTTTTTTAGAAGCTTACTCCCACGACCCACCCAAATACCTAAACTGGTTTCTATGAAACAGAGGAACATTCAAAAACCAGTTGGTTCAGGGGCTAATCTGTGAGCCCTGGTGGGTTCTGGGGTGATTTTGGCATTGACTTTTGTTCAGGAAAGGATAGTGCTTCTCAATCAAGGCGGCACCTCAGAATTACCTGGATCTGTTCAAAAATACGTATACCTGGCCCTACCGCCCGAGTTTCCCATTCAATATTTTAAAAAGTTTTCTAGGATTGAAACTTAGGAATGTCTCTTAAGCCACTCCATTTTCTCCCTACATTCCCTTCAGCTGCCTTCTGGAAGATCTCCTGTCTCCAGTTTGATTAGGCCACTATCTTCAGACTTCTGTGTCTCAGAAGCTGGACTGTCCAAATGTAAGGGTATTGTCAAGGGCAAACCGCAAGGCACAATCCAAGCGACACTGGTAGAATGATTTGGTTGGTAGAGGGAGCCCCAGACTTAGAGCCCAAAGATATGGGTTTCAGTCCCAGCTTTATCTCTGTTAGATGTGAGATACTGAGCAAATGTCTACCTTTCAGCTTCAGTTTATTAATAATAACATCTAATAATAATCCTACTAGATAGTTACTCTTATATCCCCATTTACAGATGATAAAACAGAGGCTCAAAGAGGTCAGATAATTTGCCCAAGATTATACAACTAGGAAGTACCAGAGCTGGGACTCCAATTCAAGATCATAGAGAATGCTATTTTAGAAATACTATAAGCAGTAGATTTTGAAAAATATCTTTCTATTTTTCACTCTGCTGTATCTATTGGGATTTTCTTAGATTGAAAGGGTCAAAGGACTAGCTGATAACCCCTGTGTATTCCTAGCCAGCTATGAAATGTGGAACCAATCACTGAGCCACAATATTTTCATCTGATAAATGAAGAAATGGATACTCTCCCCAGTGCTTGTCTTAGGCATGCTCTGGGAAAGCTGGTGCTCTCTCCTCCTTCACCTTGAGACATTCAGATTCTGGAATAACTCCGACCAGGGCTGACTCATGGGGAAAGCTGAGTTAAAGAAAGAAGAAAAGGATTTTTATTATAGAGTTTGTCCATCCTTAATATTCTCTGAGTGGAGAGTATACAGTACATAGTACGCGGATTTTCCCAAACATATTTGATCATGGAACAATGTGTGTGTATACGTGCATGGTTTTTCTCAGGGAACAATTTTTCACCATAACTGCACCTTAGGAAATGCTGTTATGAACTCTCCTCTTATCTGCTGGCATCAGTCTGAGGAATCGTTTCCCCTCACTTGGAGCTGCAGTTATGCTGACAGTCCCCTGAAGTGGAGGAGCTGAGGAAAGACTTCTCGCTTGACTCACATCTTCTGTTATCTCGCACATCCTGATGGCTTCAATTACTATCGCTCTTGTGCCAAAGATTCATAAATCTGTATGTACCACTTGATCTCTCATTTGAGCTCCACATCTGCACCTTAAATCCAGTATCCAAAATTCAGTTTAGTAAACTTGGAAGCCTCCCACTCAGGCCTGCTCCTCCCCGGTGTTTACCATATCAGGGAAAGGCCTGACGAACCTCCCAGTTGCCCAAGTCAGAAACCAGGCATCCTCTTAGACTACTCTCTCTCCCATACCACCATATATTATCAACCACAAAGTCCTATAAATCATACCTTTGCCTAAATATGTCTCAAATCAGGCCACTTCTGTCCAACTCTAATTCTTATCTCTCACCTGGGTTACTGGATTCCAGCCTACTTCATGATCAGCTTGGAGGTTTTCTCACTCAGCCCCAGAGAGGAGAGCCTTCTAAAATGCAAATTTAATCATGTCACTTCCCAGCTTAAAACTCTTCAGTGGCTTCCCATAGGTTTTAAGCAGCTCCGATTAACTCCCAACACTCTCAGCTGGCTACTCCTTCCCCATCCCCACCACCATGGTCTCTGCTACATTGAACTGAATTCCTTTAAGTTGCTAGAACAAATCAATCTAGTCTTCTCTCTCTCTCTCTCTCTCTCTCTCTCCCTGCTGTCTCTGGAATATCCTCTCATCTCTTCACCTGACTAGTTTCTACACATTCTCTACATCTTAGTTCCTCCAGGAAGCCCTCCAAACAGGACCAGATACTCCTGCTACGTGCTCCCATTGCCTACAGGTATCCATCTATCATTCATGTTTCTATAATTATCTGTCTTCCCTACAGACTCAAAACTCTGTAGGTAGGTTCTGTGTTGCTCTGAGTACGTTGAATGATTGTGTCTGGCATATAAGAGGTGCTCTATAAACATTTAAATAGCTTCAGGTAGTGTGAGGCCTGAAAGTTGTGGGAACTGGAGATTTGGGAAGAGGAGAGAGAGTAGGAGAAAGAGGGATAAGCAGAGTGAACATCTATGGGGGGAGAAGTGGTTACTAGACAGGGGATCTTAGGAATATCAGGAATAATATCTCAAGATAAGAATTGCTCACAGCAGAAATGGATGATCATTTTAATGGAGAAAACTTTTCCTTTGATGTACTCTTCTCCATTATGCCACTGGGAAGGGCTGGTCCTAGTACTTGACAACCAGAGCTGCCTATGGGAATCAAGGAAGAGTAAAGAATTATATGTTCACTTAGCCCCAAACCTTCAAGATTTTATTGAGAGCTAATGCTGTTTCTGACCACTATGTTTACAATCCATTTGGAGGGACAAGAACCAAAACAAATGGAGAATAAGACAATGTCAGGGCAGCCTAAGTTGTTGAATAATCTAGAAGAATACTCAAAAACTTTGAAAAAACTAAATTAGAAAAGAGATTTAGCAGAAGCTCAGACTCATGTTTTGGTTTTCCCTGCATGGTATATAGATGAAGCATCATAGGTGATAATGGAACGTGGGAGTTTAGGAGACTTAAAGTTGGCCAGACAAGGAGTGGGAATACAAATTATTGATGCTCCAAGATCATGCAATATTACCTGCCAAAATGCATCCTGAATGGACAAAACACACATGAAGACATCATTGGGTCCCCATTTAGGCCGTTTGCTTTTTAGGCCTTCTATGGGAGTGAGTCTGTTTCTGTTATTGGGAAATAGTCACTACTGAAATACAAGAAAAATACACATAGAATTCCCAAGCTTTTTTCAGCAAGTTACTCAAATATGTAAAAATATTAGAGTTCAGAAGGCATAGATGTTTGGGTAAATTAAATTTAATCTCTCAAATCAGAGATTAAAGTAACTAGTACCACCTTGGATTTTGCTTCAAGTTAGAGTTTTGAAGAGAGTACAACAGGACATCATTTTTAAATAGAAAATTCTTCATGCAATTTGAATGTCATTATAGGTTGTATCTTAGAAATAAATATGAGTGCTTAAAATTCTAACATTTGGCTTCATATCATTTGGATATTTCTGGGGTTTCAAAAAACCATTAATATTGAGAAACGAATTAAAAATCTGGGTTTCAGAAATTGGATATATATTGTCTAGAGCCCATATCATTCCCAGGGCCTAAATCAAGTAGCTATAATCTATTACAGACATTATGTTAAAAAGTGCCAAACTGTTTGGTGGATGGCATCTGGGATGATATTGCCAGTGAGAGGCTGCGTGAAGGCAAGTTTGCCAATCCACATCACATTGGATTAAGTCCCAAAGGCAAGGCAGTATCATTGTTGGTTATTATAGCTGTAAAAAAAAAAAAATACTGTCTTAGTCCATTCAGCTGCTGTAACAAAAATACTATAGACTGGGTAGTTTATACACAGTGGAAATTTATTTCTCACAGTTCTGAAAGCTGGGAAGTTCTACATCAAGGCACCAGCAGATTCAGTGCCTGGTGAGAAGCCACTTCCTGGTTCACAGACAGCATCTTCTCTCTGTGTCTTCACATAGTGGAAGGGGTCTAGGGAGCTCTCTGGGGTCTCTTTTATAAGGGTAATAATCTCATTCATGAGGGCTCCAGCCTCATGACCTAATTATCTCTAAAATGTCCCACCCACTGATACATCACACTGGGGATTAGGTTTCAACATACGAATTTGGGAGACACAAATATTTAGTGTATAGCACACATCCAGAAGAGAAACACTGAATTATGGAAACTTAGAGCTAGGAGCACAATATAATGGAAATAACAGAGGGTTGGAAACCAGAAGACATTCACAGAGATACTTTGAGGAAGTCATTTAACATCTTTGAGTCATAGTTTCTTCATCTGTACTGTGGGGATAATTTCTACTTTATAGCTAAATGAGGACCAAATGAGAAACTATGTGGAAAAGCTTTATAAAGTTCAAAGTACAATATGAATGTTAGTTACTATTCTCAGTACAGTATATTTCTTAGAAAACACCTAGCCAATCTTCCAGATTTTTTAGATTCAGAGCCTGAGACCTAAAGCGCTTAAGAGACTTGCCCCAGGTCTCTCAGCTAGATAGGAACTAAGCAATATCACAACCCTCAGCTCATTCAGTGGTTATGGGAATAGTCAGACCCCAGGAGGATCTGGGGATCCCCTTGTTGTCCCCCAATGGAGTGGTCCCCTTGTGCTTCAGACTCTTGACTTTTACATGAAAGTTGTGACTGTGTCTTATTAAGGTCCCATCTTCTTTCAGCTCAAGTGGGTGTGGACCAGTGAGAAGACACCAAGATTGTACGACACATAGCCCAGACTAGATGGACTTTCTTGCCCTTCCGCCTGAGCTCAGAAACAGCAGGGTAACAGGTCTCTCTGCAAACACAGCTACTGCCTGTGATGGCAGGAGTGGCTATGTCCTCTTTTCCTGAACCCCATTCAGATTTGTCTGTACGTCTATCTCCCCTCCTATCCATCAGCAAAGGACAGCACAGCTCTGGGACAAGAAGCAGAAACTTATCGGTCATTATGTA